TTTACTTGCAGATAGCGCACAAGCACTTCAGCAGCACTTCCACACTTCTCACGAACGAGCAATCTCCCCGAAATGTGGCTGGCCAGTCCTTATATTGATTTGGACTCAGCCTCAACTCGTCCCAGCCTCTGCTTCCTTTGGCAAGACTTGGACCCGGTACCACATGTCCACGGCCTGCTTGCTTCAGAATGTCAAAGCCTGGTACTTTTCCCGAATTTTCATTGGTGTGCTGTTGCTTGAGTCTGAGAGTCACGACATTTCATCTGTGGAGCATGACTTTTGACTGTGGGTTGTGACTCTTGCCTCCGGGCCACGACTTTTGCCTGGAGAAGTGTCCTTTGCCCGTGGGACATGACTCTTGCCTCCGGGCCACGACTTTTGCCTGGAGAAGTGTCCTTTGCCTGCGGGACATGACTTTTCAATATGAGACGCGACGTTTGCTTACAGAATGCAACTTTTGCCTTTGGGATGCGACCGTTTACCGGGTGCCTGTTGGACTCGGCTCCTAAAGGTACCCGACTGCGACCTTTCTAAACTGGCCGACTTGACCTCCCTTGGCTTGAGACCTCGACCCTGAGATTCGAACTTGGGGTCTGCGTCGTGGAATGCCTTTCACTTAATTACTTTAATATTTAATCATCAGGGAAAGAAAAGAAAAAAAACTTGGCAGTACAGGTCAAGAAGAACACACAAAACACTCCGGAAACCACCGTCGTACATTTCTGAGTACTCACCACAATCACCGTCGAGAGCTCTTGATGACCCTCATCAAGCTTCGTCGCCACTCTGCCAAGACGGTGCATCAGCCACTGTTGCCGAGTGGCCATATCCGCATGTCTCCACAGCCCACGTGGCAGCTCCACAAGCCCGAAGCCCAGCAGGAATGCTCCCGTAAACAGCCCAAAGGCGTTCGACGCCGCGATAGCAAACCCCATAATGGCATCCCTTCGCACACCCAGCCGCAAGGAAGAGCGGAACAGGAACAAGAAAAAGGCATAGGAGAGAACCACGAGACCGACCACCACATAAAAGCACATATTATCCCACAAAGAATCAGCAACAAGCCAATGGCTTTTTTCCCCCCCTTCTTCTTTGCTTTCTTGTCTCTTCAAGTGTCAGACAAGCAAATGTCAAACTTGAGAGAAATGTAATCAAACAAACCTCCCAAGTACTTTCTTTCTCCACACAAAATGCAGAGCGCTGATATCTCTCGCTTCCTGGAAATTGCACCAAATACAGTACTCTCTTTCCTCTGCACGAAACGTGGAGACGTCGAATCAGGCCTCGTTGCTTCACTTAACCAACTGAAATATTGTTGTGGAGTACACAACAAGGAAAAAGTTTCAGGAAACGTGACAAAGGAAGCCGCTGTTACATGAACTCGGAAAAAAAAAAAAAAAAAAAAAAAAAAAAAAAAAAAAA